TATAACAAATCGTCTATACCCACACGTATTTGTTACCAGATACCTAATTTAATTGTTATAATTAATTACATATCAACGCTACGAAATTTGAACGGCGCCATGACACCCGCGACCGTGCTGCCACCCCGAAAAAGTTGCGAATTTTACAATTCATTTTGCACGTTACAGACCGAGGGCTAATTACAAAAGTGCAATTATATTTATACCTAAATGCTATTTAACCGAACGATATTCATTTTAGGGCAAATTTATCCATATTATAACTGAAACTATATGTCGTTTATAAGATATTACAATCCTTTTGTTTTTATATGAATAAATAAGAAACACCCTCGGTCTGTAGCCCTTGGGTGGAAAGTGGTTTTGCGCAACTTATCAGATCGTGCGCTTTGAGTGGCGCCACCGTCGTTGTAATCAAACTGTAGTCGTTAGTTTTAAAACAATTTTCTAATAAACGTTCTAATGGTGATTGAACCATGAAACTTTTTATGTAGCGTAATTATAACCTAAATTAGCTGAAAATAACCCTAGAACCTAGAGTAAACTCTCTCTTTAAAGTGACCTCTTGTCGTTCACTTTACACGTTTTGTTTTCAGAACTTTTTATAATACATTGCTAGTCGCTAATGTACTGCAGCGTCGGATTTCGGATCAGTCTACTGGAGTCTAGTCATGCATAGAGGCGCATGTGCCAGCCTAGTGGAAAATACCGTTCTTTGCACCAACATTTTACTTTATAGTATACTAATAGTTTACTTTACACGTCCCGTGTATCACCTAAATGTTGTCAGCTCATGGTAACATTCATATATAACAAAGATATTTGTTCGGATTATTTCATATGCACATGTTTGCTATTATTACATCTTTACATGTAGTTTTAAATGCAATGTGTCCAAACGTACGTAGAACGATTGCACTGCGCTCGATCGGAACAAGCTTTGCTGTTTATAATCTTCTAGTTTTGTCTTCCAGGTCGTCCTATCTTACGTGTTCCCCGGCGGGAATAAACTATGGCCGCCATTGGATCGCATTGTATTTATGTCCGTTATGGTGAAGTCCGTTATATTGTCCGTTATGGTGAAGTCCGTTCTTATTTACTCCTGATATTATATAGGAAGCATAATTGACCGCAATGGAAAACATTATGAGATTGCAGATCACATTGTTAAGATAAAATAAGATATAACACAAAGTAAGAATGACAACGAAAACTAAATTAAAATAAAATGAGTGGGAAAACGATAGAATGATGAAAATGAAATAAAAGCCAAGTCGAATTAAGAGTAAATGTAATAACAATAATAATAAATTAAATTGAATCGATAGTAAGTGTTAAATTTAAAATACATATCCAAGCATTCTGATAGAACCCAGTTTAGCTGATAGTTTTTGAAATCTAAAATGGATGACCTGACGTCAACGCAAAGCAAAACATTTTTAAAGAAAAATCAATACATTAATATGTTTTATGTCCATGCAAGGACGAATAAAAGGTTTTATACATTTAGTGTATAACGGCTGGCATTACAATGTAACGTAGAGTTATTGTCAACAAATTAAATGTATTACATTTTATTATTTCAGTGCGCTGTTTATATGTACAGCTGTATGTGGAAACAGCAGCAATATTTCTACAGATGTAATATTGTACATGGCCCATGCCTCGTATGAGCAGATCCACCGGTAACCTCACTGTACTATGTCAAACTTAAAAAAACCTACGTAAAAAAACTGTCCCTCAGAATGCAGGTAGATTGGTAAGTTGATCTTTATAACAACGAGCAGAAATTTGCATCGGAATATACAACAAAAGATTGGGAAATAAATTTAATTTACTATAAGGAAACAAATGTTTCTCTGTCAACATATAACTACCATAAATTACATACACACACAAATATATATATAATACAACAATTTGTCTTTAGTAACTCCTGATATATATATATATATATATATATATATATATATTTGTATGTATATATGGTTTTCAGGTTTTCGTCTAACCATTGTCACCACTTTAAGTAAATGTAAATAAACAAATAAACACGCTTGTCCACTAAACAGTGTCTCCCGTTGTCACGCTAGAATACACACGCACAGGTACGCACGAAACACAGATCTAACACCGACATAACGGGACGTGCATGCATCCAGCGCAGTTGTCCTGCACATGCTCAACAATCGAATAAATCCGATATCGATTAGGCAATACTGCGATCAACAGCCCGTAATACAATCCGAGATTTTTTATGGTTTCCGTTTACTTCTCGAAGAGTGATCGCTTAAATTCAGCTTGAAAGACATGACTGTTTCACGACTATTCATTACCGGTATCAGATGTTATTCGTTGGGGATCCTACTTAGTAATTAACGCTACTCTATGCTATACAGTTTAAGTGTGCACAGAACGTGGGACCAAGATTTGATTTCGTCGAAATTGTCCCTTAAGAGAACATTTCGGCAATCACCTGCGTGCGCGACAAATATAAATTTTCAATGCCAATACTGAAATCACGGACAAAAAAAAACATCACAGTCAGAAAACAATGTACGGGAATAGTACCCCGTTTTCATCGGTTGTACAGAGTCCATATTTCAGCTGCCTGGCAGAAAGGATAGCGTATCATTTATTGTGTGCGTTAAATAAAAGAAACAAAGCAGCAGCAGCTCATGCCCTTATTTCATCTACGTTTACACTATCTACGTTTACGTTAATGAATGCCAATTACTTATTACACGTTATAATCACAGATGAACGGACGACTAGATATTGTATACTTAGTTGACTCCCATAAGACTCCTTCTGCACTGTCAGGTACAACACATTGCGATACTCTGCATCGGATTTCGAGGCAAACGTATCAAACGAGTGTGCCGCTGCTACTCTGACACGAGAGAACGAGAGAGAGAGAGAGGGCTTCTTGGTTCGGTACCGAATCAAGTAAGGACACGCGTACGCATATCCGCACGCAAACACGCATAGTTGCACTGGTTACAATGTTTACATACATCGACAAGATCATAGGCCCAATGTCACCCTCAAATTTACAGCGATATAAGGAAGAGAATAAAAGAATACATGATACGACACCGGTAGATCGACGCTGTAAAGTGGTACACGCGCGCACGCACGCACGCATGCACGCACGCATGCACGGACACGCGCACACCCGTACACATACACACAGGCACATGCACACGCACACACACGGATGCACGGACACGCGAACTCCCACTCTCTCACGCAGACACACTCACACGCACGCACCAACTCACGCGTGCACGCACGCACGCACGCACGTACGCACGCACGCACGCGCACATATATTCCAGGTGTGGTGCGACCCAACAAGAACAGTAAAATTTACGGAGTATCAAAAGGTGCCCGGATGTCATCATCAGTATCTCGCACAACTTCAGTCCGTCGCGTATATAGTTGTCAGCTGACGGACAGACGGACGCAACCGGATCGCAAGCAATCGCTCGGGATACAAACAATCTACAAACAATGTCGTGCGGATGAACGAATATTCAATATAATACAAAATAATTTTTGAACAGCCGTTCGTCTTTTATCCACAGAAACCACGATCCATGCGGCTTGCTCTTACACGCTGAATATAACACGTAATAGAAATTCCTCGTCCTAGCTAGGGTGGCTGTCATAGTTGATACACTGACGTGTCATACCACCACCATGACACGCCCGCAGTACGTGCGAGGGAACACGGGTGTTAGTGGAATCCTAGTAGAAACTTCGAAATCACGTTCTTCCGTTATCGGGCTTCGACCAGTGACATGAGTTTACTCTGGGTACATCAGAGAGGAAAATTTAATTCGGTGCAATACTATAGCTTGTACGTTGATAATTTACTTATAATATTGTGATTGGGTAAGAGGTGTATTATCTGTGAGGCTGCTAACGTGAGAATTCATAATTATTGTTGTCACGTGCCTGACTGGGACACCTTTAGTTCCATGCGATTAAGTAAATATAGGTCATTAAAAAATACGGTCACGTGATGAAGCACAGTCAGTGACGTAACGGGGTAGGTTTATATATACAATCGCAAGCAATTTGTACGTACGATCTTAATAATAATTCCCAATATTAAAAAGTAGAATTGGTACGTATCATAATTAAACACGATTTGAAATGAAAGTGATGCTAAACGATGAAGTATTGCCATTCTTTTAAGGGGACGACAACAAGAGCCATAACATTGACCAATATTTACGTTCGTTTCTGATCGATTTACATCCTATCTTGCGTGACAGCAAGAATCAACAATGTAGAAAACTATAAATATAACTAACAAAGAATGAAACAACACATGGGTGAACGAAAATAATGTCCATATTCAACCAAGGTCTATGACAACACCAGTGACCGTAGTATAAACCTTTTTGTAGTATAAATTACTATGAAACATTCAGTTCAGAAATGCACGACATGTAACTGTTAATACTGAGTAATCTCCTTCAAGCTAACTCATTATTAACCAAAGGTGACTTTTCCCCTGTCAACGCGCGTGACATGGCCGTAAGACGATGGCATATAAAACGATTCGAAAATTTCCTTAATTGCAAAAAGGGGAAGCACGACAAAATCATAAGAACGTGTACGGGACCTAATTATACCACTGCGAACGCCTGGCTGTTTCCGGTTATTTGCACAATTTCCCCGACATTTTAAGTACCTAGGAAGACACACCCATGGCAGGCTCAGTCACCGTACATCCACCCAGGTCGCCTCTTGAATCAGTGCTGCCACCTCGTGTTCGCCTTCGCAACCAGAGGAATCGTGCATCAGTACACGCAGCCCTCCATGTACGGTCCGCTGTAACATCGCTGCTGCATCCTGCTGACCTCTGGTGGTAGGTATCCTATTTGGCTCATGTCACTGATGTGCGATAGCGGGACTGTCTCTCCTCCACCACGCGTCTGTGTCGGGGAACCCTGCGATAGGTGGCTCTCGCGTAGACTCTCTGACTTCAGGATTGGACGGTGGTTCTCGGGGAAAGCCATCGAGAAGAGTGCATCCGGGTCGCAGACGAACTTGTAGACGTAACGTTCACCGGCTACCTTCTGCATGATACCTTCAGTGGCACGATATCGGCAAAACAATCATTATTCACATACGATGATCAATTCTATTATATTCCTTGTTTTGTGTGTGTTATTTTCGTTGTGTTACGATCTGTTCATATTCAATTTTCTATGCTATAACTGTATAAAACCTTAGTGTTTTTCGAGTTAGTGAAATCAGTGATATATCCGCTGTGAGGTGAGACTATATTTCGCTATATATTTTATTCGGATTGAGCGTTTATGAGCAAGAATCTCGCACATATTCCTTTAAAACCGACGTCGTAAGTTCGCCTGCGTTAAAAATGCGAAGCGAAGGACGTCTATGTTAACGTTAGTAAATAAATAATGTCGACCTTTGTTAGCTATTCACTACTGCCTCGGTATAGCCTTAAATGCGTGAACATTAAATGTAATTAAATTGAATGTAAAAATAAATTTTATGCAATAGTTTCGTGGAATTAGTCGAGCAATAATTCTAGTAACGTATTGTTACCTTTCTCGTAGTAGTATCGTAACGATCGACTCAGCTTGTCATAGTTCATAGCAGGTCTGTTCTTCTGTATTCCCCAACGCCTAGCAACCTAAGCATTGTGAACAAACACGGGTTTATTAATAGGTCAAATGTTAGTAGAAGTTTGTACTGAAGTACGGATAACGAAAAGTACATGTGATCATAATAGATATGCTAATTAGAAGTAGCTGTATAGATCAGTCTAACACACCCCGTAATCTTAATAGCTCGTAATGGAACGACGGCTAGAGAAATGTATTGAATGACGTCATTGCATCGTGACTCCGCATATTGTCTATCACACGAACTCTATTTTTAATAAATACACGAACTCTATATTTAGAATGCACTGGACATAACAGAAAAAGTTAATTAAGAGACATATAATTAGAGACATTAAGTACATTATTATATAAGAGACATTAAGTACATATTGAGTAAGCTTTAAAAGTGAAACATCCTAGTCTATTTCCATACACGTGCTGCGGCCAACGGGACAGGTTACAGGTCTTTATTAACGGAAAATCTATAATACCTCTTCGGGTTCTATGAGTTTGAATTCCATGCCTCGACCGGTCCAGGCTATGCATGACGTGTTTGCTGGGTTGTCTAGTAGAGCGACGAGAAACTGCCACAGCTGCAAACATCCGCGTCTCTGATAGCTAGGCGCGGTCAACTCCTTACCCAGGTCGAGACTCTTAACAGCTGATGAGAAGATGAAGCTGGTTAATATCGTGTAATAGCGAGCAATCATCGAGGTTCGCAGAGTGACGCAGCGAGGCCGCACGCGTGCGTGCGTGGGCGTGCATGAGTGGGTGCGTGCGTGTGAGTGTCTGCTTGAGAGAGAGAGAGAGAGAGAGAGAGAGAGAGAGAGAGAGAGAAAGAGAAAGAGCGTGCGTGCGTGCGTGTATCTGTGTGTGTACGTGTGCGTGTGCCTGTGCCTGTGTGTGTGCGGGTGTGCGCATGTCCGTACATGCGTGCGTGCGTGCGTGTGTGCGTGCGCGCGTGTGTAAGGGCGTCTGTACGCGTCAGAATCAGGAAAGCGTGAATTAACGGCGTTAGCTTAAAGCGTGTTGAAATAAGACTGGTCACGTGTTTCCAACACATGTCTACACTGAGCCGCGAATTCATACTTCCATGATAATATTCGAAATTATTTGTGGAAATAATAGTTTACTGTGTGTGTAGTTTATACACGTGAACGCGATATATAGGTTACCTTTATGCTCAACGCTTTCCTTATAATATATATATATATATATAATATATATATATATATATATATATATCTTTACATTATACATTACATATTACATATTATTACATATCCTTACATTACATATAGATATTATACTTATCTTTAATAGTAATTAAACTTGAACGTATCTTATGTTAATGGTAATGAGTATATGGTCGCGCTTAAATGCACACGCATCTTACCTTCATGTGATAATCTTTTCTCCGAACATCGTTTGTCAGATGTTTCTTCGTCATAGTAATGTCTCATTGCAAGATCGTACGAATATCCAAAACCTAGACGAAATAGACAGCGACATACGAGTTGTTAAAACGATGCGACGCATTGCAATCTGAACATTGCAAAATTTACATCGCTTATCAACTGCATTCGAGTGTATATTTCCTACAAATAAACCAGCATCATATTTCCAACCTATGTTTAGAATAAACTATTCAAATTACCATCTGGATAGTGACTCCATCCAGGCTTGCTAGTACTAGTCTTGTAGTGTTTTGTCTGGTGAGTTATTGTCTGTGTAATGACTCGATATGCTTGCCATCAAATTGAACCCGTTGCGTCTAAATTCGGTATTATCTAATATTAATTATAGGATTTCAATGCGGTTTTCCCGCGGGCTAGTAAGATACGACTGTCTGATAGCGAATGCGTCATTAATATGGCATTTAATAAAAGGGACCAATATAGCATTGGAGTGTGTTTAGACAATCATAATTTGACATTTACAATTGTTTACGAGTACGGGTTAGTTTCAACAGAACACAGGCTCTAAATTGTTGATGCGTGTGCGCGCGGGAATTTAATAATAATAATAATGATAATAATAATAATAATATATACGTACAACACATCTTATACAGTCTATACATTATATCAACATAAATATCTCACAAATACAATATCTCACTAATAGTTGTGTGTGTGGTAATTATTAATGAATACCTACGGACACATCGATAAATTAATCGATTCTTTTTCGAATGCGTTAATTAAAATCTAGGGCCGACATTATTATTTTGTGCTTGTAAACTCACATGCATCAGAGCTATTTCGTATGAGCACGTGTATTTGATTCATAAATGAACGCTCGCGCGCACACACGCGCGACCACAATGTGTAACACTGCGGACAAGCTCCGTGTAGTTCATATATGCGCCACAAGATGGCAGGGCACGGTTAATACTCACTGTTCTATCCTACACTGTTCATAACGTCCGAAGTCTGTTTCACACTGTTAGCTAATGCACAACTTATATTAGCATTAAATCTTGGATAAATAAATACATAAATAAA